AATGCACCCTTGCACTTCGTGCTGGTTTTTAATTCTCCTGCAGGGGTAGTCCACATCGTTTGGACGCCCCCAAGATCCTTCATGCGTAATTTCTTAGCATGAGGTTGAGCAATCAAGGTTCCGGATGCTCCTGTATCCAGCAAGCAACGGAGTGTAACGGGTTTTGGTTTCCCTTTTCTCGCTTGTTAAATCTAACATAAACGATGGGTTTGAGGTCTCTTGTCTTGCGACGTTTACGAGGTGGTTGGCCACGGACGAGGTTAACGATGCTAAATAGATCATCAGAGTCTAGTTGAGCAGCTTCTAGGCAATCATCTAATTTGCCGTAGATTCATCAGTTGCAAAACATTCTTGTTTACTAGTAGTGAGATATCTTCATCACTTGGTATGAGAAATCGGAACAGGGTGTCCTTTGAGGAAAATTGATAGAGGAGTTGTCCTCATTGTCAGAGTTTTCTGATTTGCGCTTGGCAACATGGTTGCGAAGTCTGCAAGTGGTGGCACGAGTGTCGTCGATCTCGTGTTCTTCGTCATTGTCGACGAGAGGAAGAATGGGTTTGTCACGCAACTGTTTCTCGAAGTTGCGGAACGCATGCTTTCCTTGAGCCATCTTCATGGTGAAGGAATAGGTTGAGGGTAGCTGAAAGCTATTGTGTTTGTTAACAAAATGCACTACGCTAAAAGCTAGTGTAAAGATCTTTCGAGTGTTTTGAGTTTGAGAGAATGAAAGTTATGAGAGAGATTAGAAAGCTATGAAAACTAATCAACGAGAGAGATCATCATCAAGGGATCGTAGATCTGGCTTCCCGCGGGAGACTACAAAGTGTAATAGAGTAGGTTGTGGTAGTAATCCTACGTCTCTCCACGATCCCAAAACGGAACGCGTGGAAGGTTTGTCTAGCCTGGATCTAGTAGCGTGGAAGTACTCCACGCTGGCTAAATATCTAGAGCGATGTTTCATCATCAACCTAGTATGACTAGCGCGGTCATTGAGAACCCTGTCTCAAATGACTATTCACGAGAGACTCGGTCATGAGTCGAACTCAAACCCTATCTAGGATCGAGTCGCAAATAAGGCTATGAGCCGTGTATTGCATTGGTGAGGAGTAGGAGATTTATCCATCCATCAATTCCTTGTTCAGCCAATGCGATACGCATGGGAGATGCAAGATACCCGGTGTTGGAAGCGTCTTCGCCGCATAGGTTGCATAGGCCATGCTTGCGCCTGGCTGGTTCGTCGGCCATCTTGATGGAGATGTGGCAGTGCGTAACTGCGACTAGTTAATCTGCTAACGTGAGGAAATACTACTTGAATAGAGGGACCTCGTATAGGTAGCTACCGCCCAATGAAATCAGCTGCAACTATTCAAGACGAGTGCAAGGTACACTGCAAAGTTCACTTCTTAGTAATTCATGATCTGTGTTGTGAGCTTTGCCTGATGCGATCAGTAACCTTGCTTGTAGCGTGCTAGATCAATGCATCGTGGTGGTTGACCTTGATTCATACGGAAGTCAACGTGGTATCTACGTGAAACGGTTCGTTGGCAGGATGCTTTACTCCTGTCGAATACCCCAGTTTGCCGTTTCTTTTGGTTTCGTTGAGAACGTGTTCTTGCCAGCGTTCTCTGTTCCATCGTGTTGACTCATGAAGCATGACTCAATCTATTCACGGATACTCTGAGTCGTGGGAGGAACTGTAACGCTTTCACTCTCGAGTCACCGGTTGGCACCTGTGGGGACTGGAGAGGGTCGGCTCAGTAAATGGCCGAGTTTCTCCACTCACCTTACCCTCTACTAGCTAGTCGTGCAGAGCTGTAACTATGTATCGTGAGGGTCTTGCCGTAGAAATAGATGGCAATCTAGCCAGGGGTAGTTAGATAGTAGCAAAGCACCTTCCGGATTTTTTAAACTTCTCCCGTGGGGGGCTTGCACAAGGCCCATTCCTAAGTGGGCACCTTCATGTGTCTGAGGTATATGAGTTCATTACGGCACCGTCCAGCGGATCGTCTAATGAGGTGCAGCCTAAATTTTTTTAGTCGTGCAGAGCTGCTCTAAGTGAGCGCAGCTTGTTTGCGCTTGCATAACAGGTCTTTCTGCAACTTATATTGTCACATATGCGATTGCAATACTCTTTGTAGATCTTCCAATGGCTGCGCTGACAGCCCTTGGAGCAGTATTTGACGCTGTTGCATTTCCTGCAATCCGCCAAGTCTGCAGTATTGCTGCAATCATTGCTGCAATCAGTGCTGCAGAAGTCAGGCAGGAAGGCACTGAAGGATTTGAATGTGTGCAATGCTTCCGCCACGTTCTCTCCCCCTGCTTTGGTGCCTCCTTCTCCTTCTGCTTTGGTGCCTCCTTCTCCCACTGCAATGCAGCCTTCGACAACTTGATCCACTTGCAAAAACTTTTGTGGGGGTTTGGCGGCTTCTTCCAGTCATCATAAGCACATTTCTGGAAGCAGTAGTGTGTCTTGCAGCTGTGCGGTAGCTACTGGTACTGGCTGGCCTCGGAGTGGAGGCAAACAGCAAGCATCCGCTGAAACACCCCGAAACCACGATTTACATGTAATTCTGATTTATATTTGGGTTTCAATCTTATATTTTGGTTTTGACTTTTATTTTGGTTTTTGGTTGATTTTACTAGTTAATTACCATAGTAAATTGGTTTCGGTTTGATATTTCGGTTTGATATTTCGGTTTCATTTTTTAAATTAAGGTTTCGAATAGCCCTCAACGGATGTAGGGCCCTTGTGAATTGTATTTGTCTGTTTGTCCGTTTGTCCGTTTGTCTGTTTGTCCGTTTGTCCGTTTGTGTGTCACACTTTTTAGCCCTAACCCTAATGGTAGCCTAGCCATAAAAGGAACAGATGGCTGGGTAGAGAGCGCCACCTTTGGATGATCATTCTTTGGATGACCCATTGGATACCACTTGTTAGTTAAGTAAGTGCATGCCCTGCATTACATAGAGGACATCAATTTCTTACTTAAAGGCCGTGGCATTGGGCTAAAGGAAGAGCCTAAGTTGCAGAGAAGAACTGGACTACTCAAGTAGCCGAAAATCTAGACTACTCAAGTAGCTCAATGTGTAGCTAGTGCATTGGGCTACTCAAGTAGCTCAACATCTTCAGATTGTTTGGGCTACTCAAGTATCTCAAAGTTTGAGCTACTTGAGCAGCCCAAACATATGGGCTACTTGAGCAGCTCAAACTGATTTTTGGAGGTTAGGCTACACAAGTAGCCCAAATAGGTGACGTTTTTTGAATGGTGGCATACAGCTACAAGCCACAAGTCACAAGCCAACACAGTCTAAGTACACTTCCAATGGACACGGCCAATTTGGGCTACTCGAGTAGCCCAAACACAAAGAGGCGAATTTAGGCTACTCGAGTAGCCCAAACACAAAGGGGCGAATTTAGGCTACTCAAGTAGCCCAAACAGAAAGGAGTGAATTTAGGCTACTCGAGTAGCCCAAACACCTTCCCGAGGAGAAGACTGAGCATCATGGTGTGATTTGGGCTACTGTAACAGCCCTCTGAAGGTGATACAGGTAGTGCCTTTAAAGACTTAACTGACAAGTGGTATCCAATGGGTCATCCAAAGAATGATCATCCAAAGGTGGCATTCTCGCTGGGTAACTAGCTAGCTAGAGTAGCAACTGCTGGTAGTTACCGTAGCTCCCAAGCAGCCAACTGTTCATACCTAGCTGCTAGCTAGCAGAGCCTAATATCTTAGCTAGCTAGATTGCTACCCAAGCAGCCAACTGTTCATTACCTACTACCTGGTAGCTGCAGCCAACTGTTTATTACCTACTAGCTAGCTTGCTAGAAATGGGCTCTATCTATCTACTAGCTAGCCAGCAGCAGTAGCCGTACATGTTGTGGCCAACCGTCCATTCCAAACTCGTTGAGGGCTCATGCCTTCGGCAGCCTCAATTGATGATTTTTAATGGGGTTTTAAAATCGTGATTTCCGGCCGTTTTCTGCTAGCTAGCCAGTCACAGGCCGCTCTCTACCGGAGGGACTAAAGTAGCGACTAAGCCATATTTCATGGTTTAGTCGATAGTTTAGTCTCTTGGGGTGGTGTCTACCCAAGGGACTAAACGTCCCACGGACTAAAGGCTTTAGTCATTATGTTCGCTCACCGACTAACGGGAGGCTGGTTAGTCCGTGAGCGAACATAACGACTAAAGCTTCTTTAAGAACTCTTTAAGAATGAATGAATGAATGAATCTTCAACCAGCCTCATTGCACAGCCTCACTATCAGAGCATTGCGACAGAGCTGATAGAGTAGAGGTGCGATCGAACGATCGATGAGGAGTATCGGCCGATAGTAGAGGTGCAAACGATCGAACAATCAAAGAGGAGTATCGGCCGATAGTAGAGGTGCAAACGATCGAACAATCGAAGAGGAGGTGCAAACGATCGAACGATCGAATGACAGTCTTCGGTTGAGAATAGAAAGCCATCCCTCATTGCAGAGTATGGAGTGCGGGATGGCTTTCATTTCTCGGCCTTTGACTGAATGATACCGGTAGTAGAGGTGCAAACGAGTAGAGGTGTGTTTTGAGTCTTGTTATCTCAGTCTTGTTATCTCAAAAAAGTAATCAATTCTATTAAGTCTTTTGTTTGAGTCCTTTAAACCCACCTTGCTGATAGAATATTGGTAGCCCACCTAGTGATCATGTTTGTTAAATCTTTTCTGAGTCCTTTAAGTCCAGTAGTGTTCCGTTTAGTCGTTTGTTTAGTCGCCATGGTACCGGTAGACACCACGTTTTGACTAAACACTCGACTAAATTGTTTAGTCCGAGATTTAGTCATCTGCTGGTAGACACCACCATTACTAAAGGATAATGACTAAATCTTGAACTAAACAACCACCTAAAGGATTCCTTTAGTCGCTACTTTAGTCCCTCCGGTAGAGAGCGGCCTCAGTCCACAACGAACTAGCTGGTGCAATGAACCTACACAACACGAAAAACAAAAAGTATGCATCGCAGAGATCCTTTATGGCAACAATATACTCTATAAATTACTCATATATGCATGCACCCCCGACATTGAAATCCAATCCTTATTGCTAAAGTGGGCTGTACTGATTGCTCTTGCGTGTCGGTTTTCCCCAAAAGGGAGAAAGAGGACTGGTAGTCATGGTGCCGCAAATGCCTCCTCCTTTGGGCTTATCATTGCTGTTCTGGCTGCTGTTAGCTCGGCTGTGGATTCTACCAGGTTCACTATGATCCGAAAGACTGTACACTTCTGGTTCCAGCTGTCCCATCAGATCGTCCACTCGATTGCGGCTTTCCGCCAATGCAATGCTCATGTTGGTGGCATTGGCAATCAGCCGCTCTCGTTCTTGTTCCAAGTCTTCCGAGAGCAAACGAGACTGGCGGAGGAGATCCACCAATTCGTTCACGCTCAGGGCTTTGATCTCATCGTAGCTCGCAAGATTTCGTTTCATGGCACGCCTGTTGTCCTTCTCAAGTTTTTCCATCATCTTTTCCTTTTGTTTTAGTTGCTTGGACAACTGTTGCACCTTGGAGGCAAACATCGAGCATTCCGTTTGCTTCTCATGGACCAACTTGTCGGCCTCGATCTTTTCCTGGACATTGTATTCCAGCCCCCGTGCCAGCCCCTCAATTGCGCGCTTGCTAGTTGCAATCTCCTGCTGGAGGGCGCCAATGGTCGCATCGCGTTCCTTTATTGTATTGATCAACTGCGGAATGGTTGCCAGAGCCTTGGCGGTCTTGGCTGCCGAGTCATCCGATGTCATTGATGCGTCCGCCGGTACTGCAGCCTTTGCCCTGTGGTTGCTGTTGCTGCTCGAGCCAGAAGCACCCGCAACTCGCTTCATTCGTAGACCTGGTGCGTCTTTGCTGGACTGCGACAGCTTGTCCGAGTCTTGATCGTGTCCATCAATGCTTTCTCCGTTCAACCGCAACGTAAGGTCTTCAATGATTGCGTTCTTGCCAGCAATTTCTTCGCGGAAAATATCTATCTTCATCTCAAGCTCCCGGATTTTGTGGACGTGCAAATTACATTTGTTGGATAGAGGATCCTTCCGGAAACCGCCATTATCGATCCTGGTGCTCTTTTCCTTTTCCTTCTCAAGGTCCTTTCGAAGTGATGTGAGCTCCACGTCCAGTTCCATAATGGCATTCTCCATTTCCTTGTGTTCTTGGCACTTCATGGCAAGGCCCCGCACCAGCTCGTCCATACTGCTAAAGCCGATTGCTTCCAACTGTTGACGAACCTTCTCGTTTTCGGCTTGGATTGCCTTGTACGTCGCCTCTTCCTTCCGTAGTGACTCTTCCAAAACCTTGACGTTCCCTCCAGCATGCTGCTTCTCTTTGAGCGCAGTGGACAATGCGTCCAATTTTTCACGCAATTCCGAGCTCTCGTGTTCGTGCTCATCAATGAGACTCGCCACGTCCTTGGATTGCTGGTCAATCTTGTTCTGAAGCTCAGCCACAAATGCATCTTTGAGTCGATTATCTTCCTCCCTTGCTTCCAACTGTTTCTCCCGCTCTTCGAGGGCTTGAGCGACCGACTCCATGTTGTCCGATAGTTGTGAAAAGAGCTGTTGTTGCTGCTGGAGCTGTTGTTCCTCGGCCATGGTAGTTCTCTCTTGAATCGCGGCGATGGAATCCACAAGAACTGCCTTTTCATGCGATAGCTTGTCCAGTTGGTAATTCAAGTCCTCGACCTCATCTCGGAGCGATTGTACCTCTTCACGTACCGTTGCCTCGTTCAGTGGTGATTTCTGTATCGACTCCATTTTCTGTGCCGTTACCTCATTTGTACGCCTGACAATGTCAGCAAGGGATTGAACCTCACTCTGTAGTTTTGCACACTTTTGCTTCTCCTGTTTGTACTCTTGCTTTATCTCGACATATTCGTTGCACTGCTCCTTTAACTCCTTGATGGTGTCCATGTGCTGCTCATTTGTGTCTTGCAGGGATCCAATTGTCTGGTCTTTTTCGTACAAGTTGCTTTGCAGCGCCTGGATCTTGTCTTCCTTCTCTCTGATGAGAGTGATTATTTCGGATTCTTGGTTTTCTTCATTTACAACCTTGAGAGTGTCTACATCTCTTAGTTGGCATTCTACAACGACGCAATCTTCGTTCTTGTCGTGGTAGTTTTGTTCCTTCTTGGCATACTCCTCACAACTCTTTTCAAGCTCTTCGATGGTGGCCAGATGCTCCAAATTTTCTTCCTCTAGAGACTCAAGCTCCTCCCTTCTCTTCGTCAAAGAAGCCTGCAATGTTTGGATATCATGGTTTCTGTCTACACCAAGAGACTCAATCTCGCTTTGTAGCTCCTTGATTATGGCTTGGTGATCTTCATGTTCCTTCTTTAGAGAATCGAGTTCCTTCTCTTTCATGCTCAAAGAACACTGCAAAGCCTGGGTCTGTTCCTCTAGTTCCTGATGAAGACTGTCTATTTGAATTTGGAGCTTGGCACACAGTGCCTTCTGCCCTAAACACTCCTCTTGGCTCCTGGTGAGATCTTGGCACTGGTCTTGACCAAGAGACTCAATCTCCTTGATGATGGCTTGATGATCTTCATTTTCCTCCTTTAGAGAATCAAGTTCCTTCTCTTTCATGCTCAAAGAATGCTGCAAAGCCTGTGTTTGTTCCTCTAGTTCCTGGTGAAGGCTGCCTATTTGAATTTGGAGCTTGGCACAATGTTCCTTCTGCTCCAAAGACTCTTCTTTACTCGTAGTGAGATCTTGGCACTTGGCGATCAAGCCCGACACCTCTTCGTTCAGTCTTTCGCATTCTCGTTGTGACAAGTCAAAACGATGCTCGAGTTCGTTGTTCTTTTTACACTGTTTCAGGAGGCTTTCGATTTCTCCTGCCAATTCTCGTTCAGTGTCTTCGTGGCGACGCGATAGCTCTTTGTGTTCACGACATTGGTTTTCCAGAACTTCGACTTGCTTTTTCAAAGCGTGGTTGAGTTTTTCGTGGTGAGTCTCCAATTCAGCTATGGTTGTTGCGTGCTGTTTCGAACTCTCAGCCTTCAAGCAATCAAGCTCGCTCTCCTTCTGCTCGAGTGATGCCTTCAGTGTGTCAATCTCTTGTTCACGTTTTGACGTGTCAGCTTTCAGGAACGCAAGCTCGCTCTCCTTCTCTTCCAATGCATTCGTTAAAGTGTCAATTTCGAGCAATAGATCTTGGGTGCGAGATTTCTGGTCCTCTAGCAACTGTTCAATTACAGTCATTTCCTGGAACACGTCATCTTTGGCCGCAACAACTCGCTCTAGCTCGTTTACACGGACTTCCCAGCCCTCCAGATCCGCTAGTAGGTTGTCGTTGAGGGCCTTGAGCTCCTCCATCTGACTTGCAAACTTCGCAGCCTCTTGAAGTTGGTCTTCACGGATCTTCAAATCTGCAACCAAACCTTCATTCTTCGATCTCAAATCTTCGACCTTTCGTTCCCAGAGAGCTTGCATATCTGCATGGTCACTCTGGATTTTGGAGAGCTCCCCGCCAGATGCTGCTACTTGGGTTTCAAGAGCGCACTTAATCTTTGCATTCTCTTCCTTCATCTCGGCAGCTGCGGCAACGTGTTTTGCGCTCTCTTCAGTTCTGGTCTCTAGATCATGACGGAGCTTTTCAAGCATCGCCCCTTGGGAATCTAGCTCACAGAGTAACTCATGGTTCTTATCCCCCAACTCCTGCACTTGGTTTTCAAGAAATGGGATAGCCCCGAATTCATCTTCCTTCGCTTGCGCGATGTCGAGAGCCGTTTCCTTTTCGACGATCAGTTCCTCGATTCGCTGGTCTCGGCCTTGCACATCAGCCAAAAGAGTGTCAATTTCCTGCTCAAAGTCCCTAAGCACATCGTCCCTCAAGTCACTTTCCTTCTCCAGAGCAAGCACGGTCCGACCTGCCATCTCTGAGACGCAGACCAGAGTTGCTACTTGATGGTACCTGTCCCGCAATTTTTCTTTTGTCGCGTGAAGCTCTGAAACTAGCTTGTCTATCTCTCTGCGTTGCAGTCTCATGGACTCGAGCAAGTCGTCGCGCTCGGACAAGGCGGTTTCGAGGCACCTTTTATCATTTTCCAACGAAGTATGCCTCTGCGATAGTTCTCGGAACGATTTTTCTGTCTCTGACAACTCCTGCAATTGAATCTCACGCATTCGTATGAAGCTGTTTTTGGCTTCTAGTTCGTCCTCCAGCTGTTTCATGAGGCCCTCGGCTTCCATTTTGTCTCGAGTCAACGATGCGACAATTTCTTTGCGTTCCTGTTGTTGCGACAAAAGCGCTTGCTCCTTTGATTCAACTACAGTTTCAAGCTGCGCTATCTTCTTCTCGGCATGCTGGAAGTCCAGTGCAAGCGAATCCACCAATGCTTGGAGCCCCTCTTTCTGAGCTGCATCCTGGGCACTCAATTTTAGTTTGTCCTCAAGACAGTCTATCTTCTCCCTGTCTTCTTGTAATTCAGTTGTCAGTGAGCCAACCATTGCTTGAAGACACACTCTCTGGGACACTTCTTGCGAGAGTCTGCTCCCCTTCTGAGATGCATCCTGTGCGCTCGATTTGACTTGACCCTCAAGACAGGCTATCTTCTCCTCGGCACCCTTTAATTCAATTGTCAATGAATCAATCATGGCTTGAAGACACTCTCTCTGGGACACTTCTTGTGAGAGCCTGTCGCCTTGCTGCGCGGTATCTTGCACCTTTGAATCCACCTCAGCCTCTAGGCAAGCAATCTTCCTCTCGGCTTCTTTTAAATCGATGGTCAAGGATTCAACCATGGCCTGGAGGCCCTCTCGTTGAGACAATTCTTGCGAGAGCCTCTGCCTCTCAACGCCTGCATCTTGTTCGCTTGATGCTGACTTAGCCTGTAGGTATTCATTCTTCTCCTGGGCTTCTGCTAATTTTGCTGTCAAAGAGTTTACTTCAGCTTGAAAACATTTTCGTTGCGAAGCTTCTTGCAAGAACTGTTCTTCGTTCTGTGCTGCATTTTGCATCTTTGATTCTACTTCAAACTCAAGGGAAGCAATCTTCTTGTTGGCTATTTGGAACTCAGCGGTTAGTGAGTCGGCCATTGCTTGAAGATCCTCTCGCTTTGCTGCTTCTTGTGAGAGCATGACCTGTTGGAGCTCCTCCTTCTGAACTGCGTCTTTTACCCTTGATTGCACCTCAGCCTCCAGGCAGGTTATCTTCATCTCGGATTCTTTCAAATCATTGGTCAAGCATTCAAGCCTGTCTTGAAGCCCTTCTCGCTGTGATACTTCTTGAGCAAGCCTTGATTCTAGCTCTGCCTGATGGCTGTCAACTTCTCCTTCAGCTTCAACCAACTGCTTGAAACTTTGTACCTCTACTTCACGCTTCTTGACATCGCTCAGTAGCTGATCAATCTTCCTTTCAAACTGCATGTTCTCGCCGGCTGCCTTCTCCTTGACTTCCTCCAGTTCTTCTGTCTGGGCTTCCAAGGTTTTGCTCAAGTCTACCGTCAACCATTCCAGGACTTTCAGTTTCTCATCACGTTCGTGAAGATCAACGAGAAGCTGATCTAGCTTTGTGCTGAAAAGAAGCGAATTGTTGCTGCCAATGCTGTTGATGCTTGTGTTCAGGTTGTCTTTGTATAGCTCTTGTTCCTCCAGCTCCTGAACGAGCATCTCTATCTGCACCTCTCGTGCACTCAAAGCTTTCTCAATGCTTGCTGTGTATTCAAGCTTCAATTGAAAGGCCTTGATGAGGTCGTTGCCAACTCCATCGCGTGCACTCAAGTCTACGACAATATCCCGAATCTGCTGGGCGAGGTGAAAGTACAACTCGTGCATATCATAGGCAGACGATTGTGAATCGTCGTCAAATTCACGTTTTTGCAGGTAGCTCGTTAAAGACTTCACTTTGGATTTCACTTTCTGACGAATGGTTTTTTCTTCAACTAGAAGTGCCTCGATTGATTTGGGATCATCTGCAGAGGCCACCAAACGAGATTCACTAGCCGGCTTCTCAGTGCTGATGTTGGTGGGAATAGCTCGAGCAGTGTTCGCGTCTGATGGACATGGTTCCTGGCGAAGTTTTGCCAAATCTCTTTCTTTGCGCTGGAGCTCTTGTTCCGTGTCCTGGAGCGCCTCTATGAGCTCCACGTCAGAATCGAAACCAAGGTGGAAAATACGACTGTTACGATCCTTGAGTTCATTCTCCAGAGCGGATAGCTTGGCGTCAAGCAGTTCACACCGTGACGTCTCTGCTTCCAATAGTTCTGATATCTGCTTGAGTTCTGGGGTATGCAACTCATGATCATCAATCTGTTCGAGGGCAAGATCTAGTTGTTGAGATAGGCCATCCACCTTGGTTTGCAGTTCTTTGCATTTAGCATCGCGTTCCTCAAGGGCGTCTTGGAGCTCGTCTGCGTTCTCCTTCTCATTCCGAGCCTCAAGCTTCTCCAGTTCTCTGATGAGTTCTTCGTTCAACCTATTTGCAGTCTCTAGTTGCTCAATACGTGCGTCGCGAGTGGCTAGCTGTTGACCCAGATCTTCGAGCTCCTCTTGATCTTGCATGCTCGTTTCTTTCAATGCATCGAGCTCCTCTTCTCGCTCGTCAAGATCATCTTGCAACTGCTGAATCTTGGCCTCCAAATCGGCGACATCGTCAGTCGCGTCGCTGTCAGTACTATGATCGTCATTGCCACCGGTGCCCCGACTGGCGGCGTTGACGTTCGCTTCCAAATTGGCAATCACCTCATTCAACCGTTCAATTTCTTCATCGCGTTCTTCTACCAAACTAAAGTTGAGACATTCTGATTCTTCCACCGCCTCGAGCATCTCCCCTTTCTCCTTCAGCTTTCTCCTAGTCGCCTCGAGCTCCTCTCTGAGTTCAGCGCACACAGAAGCATCTTCCGAATGCCCGGCGACAATGCCTCCTTGACTCTCTTCAAGCTCACAAATCCTCTGATCTTTCGCTCTCAATTGCTGATTCATCTTTTCCAGCTCTGCAACGATCTCTTCTTGGCCTTCAAGATGCTCGGGAATAACCTGCAGCGATTCTAGCTCGCACACACGGTCTTCTTTCTCTTGCAGCTTGTCTTTCAGGTCCTGAATATCGTAGCAGAGTTCTTCCATGCATTCCACGTTTTCTTTTTCAAAGAGCTCAAAATCTTGTCGAGTTTGATTGTTTGCTGCTCTCAGCTGCTCAATGGTGGAATTCCGCGTGTGTAGCTGCCCATACAGTATCTGTATTTTTGCTTCCAAGATGGAAACCTCGTCTGCTTCTTCAGAGGCTCCATCGCAGGGCATCATCCCTGCAGATGTATCTGTGGTTATTGACTCTGTTTCTGAGGGCTCGTGGTCGTCATCGTCGATGCTTTTGCTAGGTTGCATCAGGATTCCGCCATTCGAAACCAGATTAGCGGGATTGCTGGAAGCGGAGACAGAAGAGGATGCATAATTGGCAGGGGTTTGCACTGCTTGGTGTAGACGATCAGAAATAGTCCCAAAGGTGGAAGAAAGCAGAGACGAGTCTCCGACTGGATGTGGATGTTCCACAGGGGCATTGCCCTCATTTGGAAGAGGAGGGGCAGAATCCGCCATTGTACCGCTGCGAACTGCAGTGTATCACCACCTCCTTTATTCTATTTGTGTTTAGTTAGGTTGATTGTGAATGTTATCTACTACTAGTAAAGAGGAAGTGATCGACACTCACGTTTTTCAAATGTCTCTCTCCTGGTTGTCGCGTTGACTTGTTGCCAAATGCCTCGACCACAAAGGTCGTCTTCTCTTTCACTATTGACGTAAAAAATCACAAATTAGGCGAACAGAAGCTGAAAGGGTCCGGGAGGCCTGACGGGTATCTCAGCAGTACGTTCAGGCTGCAACAAGGAGTGAGTCCGAAGCTCAGTGTTGGTACGGTACAGTAGCTCGAGGATGAGACGACGAAGCGTTGGAAGAAAAATTGTGACTCCGAAAAAATTCGGAACACGACCCCCCAAGTTTTGAAGCCTGCACGCATGGCTTCCCCAATGCGAAGAGCCTCAGTTTTTGCTTTTAAGATTATCGCGAGAATCGTTTCGAGGATGGCAGGTGCCCTTTAGTGTAGTCTACGGTCCATTTACAAATCCGCCCAGCACCTTGACCTGTACCGGTACCGATACTGAGGGCGGCTTCAAAAGTCCTCGAAAAGGAATTTTGCAAGCTATGGTACCGGTACTGGTAGAAAGATCAAATGATGTGAGCTATCTGGAGCTTGATGCTGAAGAAGAGGTGCATGGCAGTTGCCACTATCGGTACCGATTTTGGTACCGGTACCGTGTTCGACTGATGGCACTACCTGGTGCGCGCTGTTCTAGCTAGTACCTGTACCGGTACAATGTTCCTGTTACCTGGGTGATCAAACGGTTGATAGCGTTGCAAGGAATCAGAAGGACAAAACAAAGACGTAAACACAGACAGAGAATCTTTTACCTTTCCCTATTCCATAGTTCTTTCTGAAAACTGATAGGATAAGGATTCGATTCTGAAACCTAGACTACCAGGGCACCAAACATCCGCACGCTTGAACTGATACCTGGTACGACTGTACCAGAACAGGTTTAGGCGTGAACAAATAAAAAATGCAAAAGGAAGGAACGGTACCTACATGCGGTACTAGTACGTCTGTAAGTGTTGGTGCGGCCGCGAAAGAACTGCATTGTCCCAAGATAGTTTTTGGTGTTGCGTCACTGGGATTTAACAACAGAAACCGTGGGAAACCAAATAATACAGTACCGTACGCACTTTTTATAGTAATACCGGTACCGGTACTAGCTACTGTACTGAAAGGGCCGGAAATCGCGATTTACAAGTAATTCTGCTTCATACTGTACTTGGGTTTCGATATTATAATATGAATTTAATTTTAAATTTTGATTTCGATTTTATATTTAGGTTTCGGCTTGATTTTACTATTAATAGTTATTTACCATAGGAATTTGGTTTCGGTTTTATATCTAGGTTTCGGTTTTATATTTAGGTTTCGGATTTATATTTTGGTTTGGAATTGATCAATTTAATTGGATTCTTAAAATCCTGATTTGGGGCCCTTTCAGTAGTACCGTACACTGTACCGGTAGGAGTTATCTCGAGAAGCCTTTTTTGTGACCCACAGCCCACAGCCAGCTCCCACGCAAACACCACCCACAAAACCACTCTCCTCGAATCTCGCTCCATCTGTGGTGTGCGGCACCATTGTTGTCGCTGCAATGATTGCAGAATTGCACTAATCTTGCTTTGCTAGCTATCTAGAGGCACCTTCCTCTACCGTCGTTTAGTAGACGGACTATGACGACTACCAGCTTGATTGGAAACAACGAGACGGCCGCGAGTCTTATTGACCTCATCAAGAATGCCACGACCATAGAAACGCTGTCCACTAACAGCACAAATCCCAATGACTCCGAAGTCTTGCGAGATACATTTGCAGTCTATGGGTCAGCAATGGTAGTAGCGTTTCTTACCTTTTGTTGGGCTAGGCTCAGGTATCCAGATGCCTATAATATTCGCCAGACAGACTGCTATTCGGTAGGGAATGACGCCGATGAGAACACTGCTCGTACTGATAGAAGGAGCAAAAATGAAGTGTCAACAACAACTGATGATGACGGTCCCAAGGACATGCAGTGCCTGGCCAAATCGCAACATGGGTTCTTTTCCTGGACTTGGAAACTATTTCAAATCGATGACAAGCAATTTGTGGAGCAGAATGGATTGGATGCGATGTGTCTTGTTAGGATCTGCAACATGGGATTCCGATTGACCCTGACCGGAATCTTTGTATCCATTTGGTTGATGCCAGTCTACAGCACTGCCAGGGGTGGCACTTTGGATGACACAATGGTCGAAGATAAGATTCTGGAAATCACGACGGGTCATATTCCCAATGATTCACCCCGCTTCATTGCGACCACCGTGGCGACCTATGTGGTATTTGGTCATGCCATGTATTTGATTTTGAAAGAAATGCAATGGTTTACCAATTTGAGGCACTCCTTTTTACAACAACAAAAGGCTAGGAATTTTGCAGTGTACATTCGAAACATCCCAGAAGAATGGCGCAGCAACAGGGGTATCAAAGATTTTTTTGAAAAGTCATTGAGGGGGATTCACGTCCAAGAAGCTTCCATTTGTTTGGGAACCAGAAATTTGAGGAGAAAGGTTGCTGAGCGTGACACTATCATTGATAAATTGGAACGTGCAGTGGCAGAGCAAGAAGTCAATGGGGAACGACCTCAGCATGTTGAAGACACGATTCTTCCAGGTGTCAATCTTCTGATCAATAACAACGACAAAGTGGACTCGATTGACTTTTACACAAAACAACTCAAGACCATGAATGCTGATATTGCAGCGTGCATTGATGCTCTTCACGAGAGAGCAAATGTTGAACCTGTAGAAGATAAATTCGATTCTGATGTGGCTGACGAAGCATCTTGGGTCAGGGGAAGTGCCATCACAGAGCAAGAACAGGATTCCTTGCTAGAGCGTTTCAAAGACCAAACAAAATGCGTTCAAGAGGCTGTCATTGGACCACCCGTGCAAGAGGCAACTGAGCTTGTCACAAAAGCAGCGACAGAAGCTGTCAAGCTCGTTTTTCCCAACGAGGACGGGGAAATCTTCAGCGCTGCTTTTGTAGTCTTTGGAAGTTTGTCGACAACCCACGCATCCCTGCAAATGGTCCATCACGGTGAGCTCTCATGAAATGCAGGTGTAACTTCTGTTGCATTCTTAGGTTTGCAGAGTTGTCTCACATGCTAGAGAGATTACTGCGAGTAGAGGAACCGTACACATTTGAGGTATTGGAGGCACCGGATTCAGAAGACGGTAAGCTCTTGGCGTCTAGCTAGTAACGGACGCTCGGCCAATGCATGCTTTCTCAACAGCACAGTCTTCTGGGCAAATGCGGGACGAGAACATCATGACCTTCAGCTTGGGCGCCTCATGAGCTTTGGCTTATCCAGTGTGATTTGCTTGTTTTGGACTGTTCCCGTGTCATTTGTGGCGAGTCTGTCCTCAGTCAAAGGACTGCGACAAGAAGTCGAGGCTGTTGACAACCTGCTGAATGCAGTTCCAGCCCTGGAACCCTTGTTTGAGCTACTAGCTCCTCAGGTGCGTGTAGGGAGCTTGATTGCGGTGCTGTTGACATGGCTGCTTCGACGAGAGAAACCAACCCTTTTCCTTTTTCCTACTGCAGCTTCTTGTCGCCTTGAATTCCCTCCTCCCAATGCTCTTGACATCCGTTACGAACTTTGAAGGAAACATCTCTGGTTCAGTAAACCAGGCTTCCCTCTTCGTGAAGCTGGCAGCTTTCATGATCATCCAAACATTTTTTGTCAGCGCCATTTCAGGTGGTGTGCTTGATGTAAGCAACGCTTTGTCGAGTAAAGTTGACCAATTATCTGTCCAACGTATGTTCGCTCAACCACTTTGACGCGACTTAGGCTCTCCAAAGTGTAGTTTCAACGCCAAAAAGCATCATTGACTTGCTCGCTACCACCCTTCCAGCACAATCAACGTTCTTTGTACAGCTATGTTTTGTCTCGACCGTTTCCGTATTCGTGATGGAGGGATTTGGTATTGTGAGAATAGGCATGGCAGTGGCAAGGCGACACATTGGCTCACACCTCACCCCACGAGAGAGACGACGGATCGTGATGGGGCTGAGTCCAATGTCGGAAGTGAAAGACTTTGAATACGGGAGACAGATGTCCAGCCTGGTGAGTGCAATCGAGATCCACAAGAGGCATCTTCCATTATTACTTCAGGGGTCGTGAATATCTAACGTTTGATGCTTTTCAGGTGTTTCTCTACATGGTGTATCTGGTCTATGTAGTAATTGCTCCGCTGGTGAGCTTCGTGTGTGCCTTCTGCTTCCTCCTATTGGAGGTACTCTTCCGACACCAGATGATCTACATCTACAAAAGAACTCCTGACTCAGGGGGGAGGCTGTGGATGAACTTCATCAAGATACTGACGACTTGTTTCCTCATTGCGGAGCTCACAGGTACGGGACTTTTGGTGGTTGCCACGTAACGACTGCCACTTCTCAAAATTGCCTTCACTAATGTCTGGTCAACACGCGACAATCAACACAGTGTTTGGTCTACTAGCATTGAAGGATTCTGTGTTGTCTACAATCATTTTCCCGTTGGTCGTAGTATCTGTGATCTTCTCCATATATCTCCGAGAGAACCATTTCAATGTGGCAGAACATCTTCCAACTCGCCTGTGTCTCGATCAAGATTCCAAAAACATTGACATGGATTTCGGATTTGCAAGAGAGGCGTATCTGCAGCCCGAGATGAGAGAAAGAAACGGTACGTCACTCTGGGTTTTGTTTCGTTTCCTTGGCCTGTGATGTATCTTTCCACCCGCTCCAACATCCGATAGCCCTGCCTGAGCTTTCTCGAGAAAAGTTGCAAGAGCTGGGTCTCGTTGAAAACGACTCTCCAAAAGCTTCTTTCAAAACTGCCGTGTTCCCCAACGGCATGATCTGTCGCGTAAAGAAGCTGGCGATTCCGGATGGGGTTTATACTGATGATTGTCCTACGATATTCGATGCAGAACGGTGCAGCTTGACATCCGATCAACACGACGCATAACGTTGGATGAATGAATGAATGATGAATCGGGCCCGGTGACATGATTCCCAATCCCAGGCATTTCCAACAAAAGAAGGATGAAGAGCGTTATAGGACTCCACCAAGCCGCCTCAACCAAGAGGACCAAGGTCTTTGAATCCGCTGTAATAGCGATAACGGCGGCACGTCTCGGCTGTTAAAGACCAACCACTTCCATTTTATTGTTTTGTTTATGCGCGTGTGGATGTGGGAATGATGCAGTGTTTCGTCCTGGCCTCAGTGAACCGTTTGGTATTGTTGTGTTGGCATCTCCAGCACTTTTGACCTTCCTCCCCCCCCCCCTCCATCCGTTTTGTTGCTTGTGCAGTGTGTGGAGAATTCTGTGGTTCATCCTCTCTTCCGTGTCAGTCGCCCCTGGTTTGGTTTGTTGCCACTTCCTTTGTTTTCTCTCCCGTCTTTCTTGCACGTCCTTCCTTCCGGTTTGTTGTGTGGTGGAGGTAGTCAGGTAGTCTCATCCTGTGGTTTGGTCCTCCATTAAATAGCAGTGAACCCTTGGGTTTTGTTGGCACTGTTCTTCAATTCCCGATGTTCCTTTCCCTCGTCCTTCCTTGCGCTAGCAAGCTAAGATTGACGATTGTGAATGGCCCGGGCCATGTAGTCGTACGCCACAGTGCCAACACCATACATCCACGCCAAGTGGTAGGCATTATCCACAATTTTGATTCCCCAGGCTCGTGTAAAGCCATTCATACCGGACTCCCGATACATTCTTTTTATGACGGACCAGAAATCTCGCTTGGCACCGGGGTACGGAAGAGGCTTTTGCGAATTGGTAATGACATTGTCAATGGGATGTGTGACCGCCGAAGCAGCGCCCCCAATGAGTCCACACACGAGCAGTTCGTGAAACTCGAGCTTGGGTGTCAGCCCCTTTGCTTGTCTCCGCGCTTGGATGCGATCCTTGACTTCCCCCGCCACGGCAAATCGAATGCCCCAATCGAGACTTCTTCGAAGTACCATGGGGACAATGCCATCCATCAAGGAGGCCACTCCATTGGTGGCAATGAGACGCCGCATGGCTGCGGTGGGTGTCATGGCATTGGCCTTGGCATCGGCCACCACGGTGACTTTCAGTTTAATCAAGGGACACACAAACAAGGCTTGTGCGGCACCACCCAGGACACCCGAGATGCGTTCCGACGTTTTGTGAGACAAGCTCGTCTTGGCTTGCAGTTGATACATGGCTTCGTGCTGGATAAAGAGGACCGGAATTCCCTTGTAGCATTCAATCAATCCCCAAGGAGCAAATCCTCGGTAAAATGTCGCCCAGTATTTGCCACCAGACTCTTGTAGGAAGTTTCGGTGGAGAATCCAATAGGAAGGAGTTTCCTGATGACCCACGTGCATTTGCTTGGCATATTTTAGTATTTCCAGATAGTGGCCTCCTGTGACCATTTCTCCAAATATCATGAGAGGTCCTATCGCCAGCTTTTCAAAGGCTGGTCGAGTACGAACCAAGTCCAATTGGCTCATTTTGATTGTGTTCGTACTAGTATGTCGTAGCTAGCTATATGAAGCTTGTATTGTTCTTTTATGGGAGGAACATGGTGAGCGACCAAGCAATGAACATGCAAACATCCAGGATGATACTTGCTGCTTTCCCAATGGTTGCTGTCGCGGCGTCTGGCCAGTCCACCAGGATCCAAGCAGGAAGTTTGAAGTCAGTCAAGCCCCCCTTGCCCCTATTGGTCCGAATTTGTGACCCCTAATCTCTTTTTCGCCAAAGAAGCCTGGCCCCCTCTAGCTAGTAGAAGCTTGCGTACTGTAGAAAACCAGCCACTGTGCTACAGTAACGGTAAATAGCTAGACTAATAGTATCTAGTTGTGAATAGTACCAGGTAATTATGCAACAACATGTTGACAGTTCTGTCACAGTTAGGAAAGTGTCTGTTCCTGAAATAATGGCTTCTATTAGGGGAAGTTATTCCTATTCCAATACAACTAGTAGCTAGTACTCATACACTCATACTTATTAGTAGTTCTTCTTCTGCTTCTTCTTCTTCTGCCTTCCCCTGGCATTCTGCTTCTGCTTCCTCTTGGTAGTTGCCGTGTACTTTGTTGCCCATACAAAGCCCTTGAAGTGATCATTGCAAAGCCAATCAAGGTTCTTCTGTGATGCTGCAAGAGCATAGGGCAAGGAAGGTTCAAACAAAAGGCCTTTGCAGAATACAACAACATGCTCACTGAGTTTGACTAAGACAGGATCATCACCATCATAAGTCAGTGGATTGAAGGACTTCAAAGCATCAACTGGCTTGCGCACCAGTGTTTGACAGATGATACCCTCACATTTGTTGACATATTCATTCAAAGATGCCACATATTGATCACCATATGCCTGCTTCGATTTGCGGAGCTCCTCGTTTAGCCGGTTGTTGAGTTCATGTGCTTTTACCTTGTATCCCATGAATTTCGCTGCGGAAGACATGGCCGAAGATATGCATGTCAGTGTCCCTGGTGCCTGTTTGAATGTGAGCTCCACTTTGTCACCAGTCGGTCCCTCGAAATAGTCAAACTTCGAATCTTCTGAAGGCCCAGCACATCCGATCCGCATCCGGCGAAAGACAGTATCCTTGGCATCGCGACGACTGTTGAGTTCTTTCTTTTGCTCTTTGGCGAACATCTTGCCTGCTTCGCCAGCTTCTTTCCACCGTGCATTGAAGCAAAAGTCATCTTGGGCATCATAGGACACACATACATTGGCCACCGGGTCTTTCATCTCCACGCCTCCATCAGCTCTTGGTCTTGACTCAGTGTAAGTCAAAGTCTCCACATACAGTTGCTGGTACTTTGGTGGAATGTTCTTCCAACCACCTGGCTTCTTGACTTCGCTCTCATTCAGCATGCGGTAGCCTCTGTCAGTCAAAAATTGGTCCATCATCCTATCGCTCACCGAGTGTTCAGCAATGTTGCCATCTTCACCATGGAAGCGAACTTTCCACGTGGACGTTCGAGCATTCCACTTGACCTGAGCAAGTGATCCCGGCATTACCATCCAAACCAATTTCGGACTTGTAAAATAGCAATAACAAACTGGAACAAACATAATAACAAGTTAGCAGAGGCAAGAGAGGTGTGAGCTGACAACCAGAAAACAGCAAAGAAACATTGAAGCCACTGACTTACACCCTGGGAGGGGAACATCTTTCCATTTTTTACTGTGCATATTTTCGTAGAGTTCCAATAGCGTTTGCTTTCGTTGCTCTGAGCATGGACTAGGATCTCCACCCATTCCAATTCGCTCCAGCTCCCGGTTTCGGTCCTGCTTGCTTTCCATATCTGCCCATGCTTGGTCTTGCTCGGATTCTGTCAACAATGGCTCATCTTCACTGGCCCAGGCACGTGCGCTCGATTCGGCTCGACTGGTGTCTTCCGTGGTAGCTTCAGCGCCGGTGTCGTCTCTAGCAGGAACATGGCTGCTGTCTAAGGCACTTGCACTTGCACTCGAATCGGCTCGACTGGTATCTTCCGTGGTAGCTTCAGCGCCGGTGTCGTCTCTAGCAGGAACATGGCTGCTGTCTAAGGCACTTGCACTTGCACTCGAATCGGCTCGACTGGTATCTTCCGTGGTAGCTTCAGCGCCGGTGTCGTCTCTAGCAGGAACATGCTGCTGTCTAAGGCCTTGCACTCGAATCGGCTGACTGGTATCTTCCGTGGTAGCTTCAGCGCCGGTGTCGTCTCTAGCAGGAACATGGCTGCTGTCTAAGGCACTTGCACTTGCACTCGAATCGGCTCGACTGGTGTCTTCCGTGTCTTCCGAGGAAGCTTCAGCGCCGGTGTCGTCTCTAGCAGCTCTAGCAGGAACATCACCCAGAGGAGTGACAAGGTCGTCACTGTCATTGGATCCAGGAGTGACATGGTCGTCACTGTCGTTCGAACCAGAGGCACCAGCTTCCTCTTCGCTGTCACCACCAAGAGGATTGACAAGGTCATCACTGTCGTTCGAACCAGAGGCACCATCGTCGTCGCCGCCGCCAAGAGGAAGGTTGTCACTGTCGTTCGAACCAGAGGCTTGGTTGTCTTTGCTGCCACCAACAAGAGGATTTTTCACAAGGTCGTCACTTTCGTTCGAGCCAGAGGCACCAGCGTTGTCGTCGCCACTGTTGGTGGATCCGGAAGACTCGGCAGCTGTCAGAGCAGGAGTTGCGTCATCTTCATCATCCTTGGATCCTATGGCTGCGGCATTTGCATTGTCATCCTTGGACTGGCTGGAAGAAGCATGCACTTGAGACTTGTCAGAGCTGTCCAATGTTCGTAGTGCTGCTTGTGAGTCCTTCTCTGAAGGCATAGTGCCGTCATCCTTGTCTCCAACATCTTCCTTGTCACCGGTGCCATCTTCCACATTGTCGTCGGCACGATGAGCGATTCCACCATACACTTGAGACTTGTCAGAGCTGTCCGACGTGAGTGCCACTTCTGAGTCCTTCTCTGGAGGCGTCGCGCCGTCCTCTGTTGTTGTGGTGGTGGTAGTAGCTGGATGCGACAGTTGTTTCCATGCTTTTTTTCGGGTTGGAGAAGGCTTTTTGCAGGTTGTGTAATCAAGATTACGTGCTTGGCCAGTGACTGCAAATTGCTTTCGCTTTCGCTGTGGTGACTCGACTGACTGTTTCGGATCAAAACCCGATGCTGAGGCAAACCCTGTGCCTGCTAGTCCACCAGCAACTCCAGAGGTGGTGATACTCTTGCTTTTGATGTTGTTGACGACGGATGGATCAAACGAGGTGTTCTTGAGACCCAACAAAGGCACGAGCGGTCGAGGTTGTTCTAACAGTGGGACCTCTTTACGTTGACTTTTCCGAGGATTTTTTCCAGCTGGTCCAAGGTATCCGCGCTCTGCAGTTGGTTTTGCAGCCGATGCGTTAGTGTCGTTCGATGTCTCCTGACCTTTGTCTTTGTCGTCGGCAGTTGGCTTTTCGCTCACGCCCTCGTTGTCCACTGCTGCCTTCTTCCCGTCCTCTTCTGGAATTGATGATGTCTTGTCGTACTCCAGAGTTTCGTCATCGGTCTTGTTGTTATCATTTGCAACCTCCTTATCCTCCTCCAAGGGCTCCACACGATCCTCCAAGGACTCCTCCAACGGCTCGCCATCCTTTGGATCAGCCGTTGCGGACTCGGTCAGCTCTTCCACATCCTTTGGATCAGCGACAACTGACTCCTTTGCCGTTGTCAGAGCTTCATCTGACTCCTTCGCCGCTGCCACCGGTGGTTTGTCGACTGCAGCTGATTCTTCGTCATTATCTGACGCCTGCTCATTTGCGTCCTTCCCGTCCGCCGGCACATTTGTCTTGCCAGTATCTGCGTCGTCGTCGTCCTGACCTTCATCATTGCCTGCATTGCTGGTATCATCTGCATTTTCCTTTTCTTTGGATCCTGACGCAGCTGCATCTTCTTCATCATCGTCGGCGGTGCCCTCAGCCGTTTCCTCTTCCGCGTCCTTTGGTTCGGCGTCCTTTGGGTCAGCGCCCTCAACTGTGGCCAGAGTGTCCTTTTCGGACTCATTCTGCTCTTCCGCGTCCTTTGGGTCAGCGACTGTGTCTTTCATCTCTTCAATTTGGTGCTTGGCCAGTTCCTCATCGCACTTGTCCTTCGCCGATGCACTTCGAGCTTCTACATCAGCTGCGTCTTTCATCTCTTCGTCGTGGTCGGCATCTTTGCCCTTGGCCGACTCTTCAGCATGTGCATCTTCCACTGCCTGCTTGCCGTTGTCTTCATCTGAGGCCTTGTCATCATCAGCAGAGGTGGCTGCCTTCTCACCGTCTTCTTCGCCATCATTCTTGGCCGACTCTTCAGACCCAGCGTCCTTTTTGGACTTTTCATCAAAAAGAAATAGCATCCCGGCTGTTGGTGGTTTGACGGCTGCATCTTCTTCATCGTCAATGCCCTCAGCCGTTGCGGACTTGTCCTTTGGGTCAGCTGAATCGAGAACGACAACTCTTGAGGTTGATGCTGCCTTCTTGTCGCCTTCTGATTCCATCTCTTCATCGTCATCCTTGGGAGCAGCCCAATCCAGATTGTCAGCTTCCTTTGCCAATTCCTTTGCCAATTCGCCATTTTCTGTGTTTGATTCATCTCTTGTGCCACCAGCCGTTGCCAGTGCGTCCTTTTTGGACTCGTCATCGCCGGATTCCTTTGCCAGTTCCTTATCCAAACCATCGCCCTTGGATGTCTTCTCAAGATTGTGCTTCTCGGAGGCCAGAGGGTCCTGATCTTCATCCGCCTTTGAGGCCATCTTCTCAGGACTGTCGGAAGTTGTGGCACCTGAGATTCCTTTGGTGTTGTCGGAAGTTGTGGCACCTGAGATTCCTTTGGTGGGTGTATTCAAATCACAAATGCAAAGGTCCTTTGCACCGCAGGGGCACTTGTCGGTCTTCTCGGCTGATTCCTTCGCTGGTTCCTGATCCAAATCCTTGGCATCCTCCAAAATCACACGTCGCAATGTCTCCGGTGAGAAAGCTGAGAAAGCTGATTCATCGGGATTGCAGGCCTTCTCGCCATCTTCTTTAGCATCTTGATCCAGTTGGTCCTTCAAACGTTGGAATTCTTCTGGTGGCATAGTTTTGTCGCCCGGATTGATCGAAATGTCCTCCAAGATGCTCTCTAGACTTGCAACGTGTGTGCTAGCTGAGGATCGACGACCTCGTGAAAGCTCTGCAGGAAATTGTGCATCTTCCAATTGCTCTTGCAATTCGAGGCGACGACTCTTGCTTGTGGGATTGTCATCTTCATCAATCTCGCGGAAATGCTTTCGGGTGCACTCCGAGTCTTCTTTTGGGCTTGACTCGTCCTCTTCATCACCACTCTTCGACTTGTCTCCAGGATGCCGGGAATCTTCCTTCTGCCATTCGGCCTCAACTCCACGAAATGCCGCCGAGAGTCTTGCATCGGGTACTGTGGCAGGTGGAGAAACATCAAAGCATATAGGTTCTCCCAGCTTCTCGCCTGCTGGTGGGGAACTGACATATGACTCACCAAACAGACTACTGCTTCCAGAATCATCTTGCGATTGCAATGAATCCTTCTTGGACTCATTCTCGTTGGAGGAGTCAGACATATACATGTCAGGGGACTTTGGCGAAAGTGACTTGGAAAGGGCAAGCGAGTCCACAGAATCCTGCTGTTTCACGCCATCTTCCCGAACCTCCTCAAGCTCACACATCGGAGCATCATCATCATCTTCTCCAGTACTCTTTCCCGTCTTGGCCGCCACCGCCACCGCCAAACCAGAACCATCTTCTCTACTCTTGGGCGCGGCCGCTGCTGCACCAGAACCATCTTGACCAGAACCATCTTGATTATTGCTGGATGCCCCTGCTGCATCCGAATCTTGATTATTGGAACCCGCATCACCATCTCGATCATTAGATGCCACTGCTGCTGCTGCATTATTTTCACGCACAGGACGTTTGGCCTTGACAAATTTTCGACCCTTGACAAATTTTCCACAATCACTGGCCTTGGAGATTGACGACGCTGGGGAAGCCATGCTGAGACTGATGCTTTCCTTGGATCTCTTGGTACCTTGACGGCGACTGCTCAAGACATATGCAGATGGAGCACGGGCTGATGATGGAGTACCAGTACTGGCTGATGGCTTGGACGCCATCTTATCTTGCACTTGATCCAACAAAGATCCTTCTTCCATAGCCGTGCCAGGTCCATCCTAAAATAAAAGTAGAAGAGGCGAGAAGGTTTGTAAGACTTGTCTCAGGAATGATGAAGGAATGAAAGATTGAGGTACCATCTTGCAGCGTATATTGGCTAGGGGCGTACCGGCAAGCCTCAACCACGGGGCTCCAAAGGAACCACAGGCCCCCGGAAGGGGCGGCTCCATTAAGGAGCACTGGAGATGACACCATTTTACAAACTTGTTGTGAGAAGTGTATGAACTGACCTTTTGATCTGGTTTTTTGCGTTTGTTAGGAGATGTAGCAGTGTCCAAATCTTGAAAATGGACCTGCTTGGGACGCTTTCGCTTCTTCTCGGATGCACTGGGTTTGTCGGTCTTCTTTGGTTTGTTGGTTCCCAAAAATTTTGACGCTCCCAATACAAGGACACCTCCAAGCGCAGCAACCCCTGGATTGATGCCAGAAGGCACGGATGGGCTTCTGTTTACGCCTGGTAGTGGATCTGCTCCTAGAACCGGTGTAGAGACCTCAAGGCCAACGGGTGACTGGAAACTGGAGTTGCTGAATCGTGGTGGTGGTAGCTGGAAAGTGGAGTTAGTTCCTGCAGTGGCTCCTCCTGCTTGGGTTGTCAGAGACAGCATGGAGCGAA